AATCGCGTCACGCACTTTCCCGTAATCACTGGCCCCAAAGCTGAGCCCATAACCTGTTGGGGTTAAGAGAATTGTTAAAACGAGGACTCAGTAGAGGAAATAAGGCAACACGTGTGGACGCTAGTACGCTACAGACAAGAGTGAATTTATTGGTGTTCTTTAACATTTGATATGACGTTAAGCAGTGTTGCCTGAAGGGCTTTCGTTCAGTCGTTGCAAGTCGAACCGGGGGGTTCAACAAGTGCTGCTATCACTCCTGGCGGCAATCGGTTGTAGGCCCCGATGCGTGTTGACTGTTAGCAGATCTCTTGAGACTCGTCCACTTCGAAATGCAGGTAGGCGTCTGACAGGTCGATTTGGTTGAAAATTTTGCAGCTTTGCAAAGATGTCCTGTGGGAGAGGAAGCGGATGTTGATGCGGTTGGAGGGCGTCATACAGCCCGGTGGAATAGTCACTGCAGATTCGTATGGCACCGCTCGCCTTCCGGACCACACCTATCGGCGCAGCCCACTCGGAGTATTCGACCGGTGTGATGATGTTAGCTTGTGCCAGTGGATTCAGCTCCTGATTCACCGTGTCGTACCGGATCTTCGTTGGAGAATTTCGAGGGAAACGCTTGCTTGAGGGCGTTGATGTTTGACGGAGAACTGCTGACCTGGTTGCAAAAATGCTCTATTGGAACCGACCACAGATTGAATGTGTCGATAAGATCGATGCCCTACAGATGCAACGGTTGCTTCACGCCTTAAAATCGACCGTTGCGAGTGACCACGCTTATCGAGACCTCACACGAAAACTCCGACTCAAGCTTCAGTGGATGACCGGATGCTGTAGACGTATTAATCGTTGCTGGCTTCAACGGTGTCTGACCGATCTCTTTCCACGTCCTTTCCGAAATTACGCAAATGTCGGATGTCGTGTCGAGCTGAAAATTAACCGATTTCTCCCCTAACTGCACTGTCATGAACTTCCGCTGCTTCTTCATGCTGCTCACCAGAACGGTCTTGGTTGCCATCGCCTTGAATTTCTTCCGTTTCGAAGTGCTGCTGGTTTTCCTTGCGCTGGAACAGTAGCCTTCCCGATGGCCAAACTGGCCGCATTCGTTGCACTTGTGCTTGCCGTAGGTGCATTCACGTGCATAGTGCATGGAACTGCAGTTCCAACATGGTGTAGCTGGACCAGTTCCATCGCGCTTGCCTGGTTTCGACGCTGAGTGCCCCATATCTTGCTTGATCTGTTGCTTTCGGAAGGGCTGCTTACGGCTGAGTGCCTTGATGGTTGCTGACGATTCGATCATGGTTGTATCGTGCTTGATCGTGAGCATTAATCGGGAATTTGTTCTAGTGTGACTGCTGCGTTTTCTCCGATGCGGGTGTCCGGACCTCGCCATCCCCTTCCGATTTCAGACCGCATACGAAAAGCAAACATTTAAACTGTTCCTCGCTCATTTTCGCTAACTCGAACTCGACGAAAAGTCGATTCAACCGGCAAGCGTACGTCTTGTAATCCTCGCCTGGCTGCTTGACGAACTAGAGGCAATGATATCGCCGGCTGATGAACGATTCCACAGTACCAAACAAGCTTTTCAGCTTCGCCAATGAACCCGCGAAATTCACCTCCTTCGTAGTTTTCGGCAGAATGGCTTACGTATCGTTCATGTTCCGACGGTCCTAGTTTCCGAAGTAGTAGGCGGACCTTCGCCTCATCGTCCAGGCGAACGGCATCCTTCGAAAACAGGCCATTGTACCGCGTATTCCAGGCGGAGACGTGACGACTCTATCCGATGTTGAATGTTTCCTACCGGCGGTAGTAGAGGTGCTCCTGGTGCCGGTGGATGTGCGCCGTTTGCCACAGATTGACCAAAATCTTCTCCGGGTGGCGGCGAACTCATGCTCGCGGTTCGACGCCTCTTCCTCGTGGGTGGAGTAATTTTTCATTCGCACTTTTTCCGCGAAAAACCGAATTTCTCGTCGCCACTTTTACGACTCGCGCGAGAGATAAATAAAAATTAAAATAAACTTTATTATCACCCCTATTCTGTATTTCGTTTCGAACGAAATTCTCATACAAAAAAATATTTTATATTATGTAAAACACAAATTATGCCTCGTGGATAAAACACGCTGTTTCACACCGAAAAAAGTTTTCATATAGTTTCCATTGGGAACGCACATGATATTTTTCCAATAACAAAATTAATGATTCGTACCTGAAATTCACATAAAATTCATATGATCACATGAATTCTATGTGATAAATCACATAAATTTCATTGGACACATAAGGTTCATGTGATTTTGTAGTGCGATTCCCAATTATGAGATCACATGAAAGTTATGTGGAATTCTAATGGATATTTTCCATTGGAAATGTGATTTATTTTTTGACTGCACTTATCATTCTAAACTGCACGGATAGAAATCTCCTTATACCTTATAGCAAATTTCTATTACTGATTATTCATAAAATGTATAAGTCAACTAATGAGCAGACGCCTTGCAAAAAGTTAATGAAGGTTATTTGTCAAATGAAATGTATAAGCGGTCACACATAACTTTTATGCATTCTTATATGACCTATGCGGTTCGTCTTATGGAATGTATAAGACTGATGTTTTGGCAAAAATGTATAAGTGAAACACATGAATAAAATAATTGATTTTCGTTTCGTGTGGAGATGGCTGTTCGGTAGTATCAACTGGAGACAGGGTGGTCTGCTAACAGTGAGCTCAGGTGGTCGATGGATTCTGATGCGTGCGCTAGGGATGTCTATTGGTCCCAGCATGCATCTATTTTTTTTACAGTTTATTTCTTGCATGCATGACATCATTTAGATGAGATTGGATTTCCGTTTTATTTTTAGTAATGTTAGTTATACAACATCATACTTTTTGTCATTCTTGAACAATATCAAGTATCATTCGAGTTAGAAATATTTATTTGCATAATATAACCGTGAAATTTCAGTGTTACATCCATCACATATTGGGAATTGAGGAGACATAGAGCTGCATCTTATTGTATGTAAAATATTTATTATTTTCATTGCAGAATACCAGATTTTTTATCCATATAAATTTATTTTCATTAATTCGAATTTTAATGTTCTGATATGTTTCATTTCTCCATTACATATATTTACTTTTTTATTTGTTTATTTGTTATGGTTGCATCAACAGACTAGAAATAGTCCCAATGATGTGTTGTAAAAAAGTACAGATTATACAGACGACATACATATACTACAGTTACTACAGTTACAAACGAAAATAACTTGGAAAGCATTGTCAAGTTACTAAAAATTTATAAGTCTTAAATTTTACACTTAGCTGTTGGGTATCAAGCGCCTTCGGTCAGCAAAAAAGGCAGAGAATCTTCGGCGAAGCATATTCCGTGTCAAGTGGAAATCGAACATCGACGCTACTCGGTTGAACACTAGCTGCAAGCCGTAAATAGCGCTCCCTATGCTATAATTAGTTCGAAGAAGTGGAACTGTTGCGTAGTGATCGAGGTTGAACATTAATGTTCACTTGTTGCAGAATTGCTTCGCAGTCGATTCTTCCTTGCAGAGTATCGGCGACGGTTAAGGCTCTGAAAACATCTCTTCGGATACGTAAGGGCTCGATATTGATCAATTGGCAGCGATTCTCGTAGCTTGGAAGACGAAGTGGGTATCTCCAAGGCAGCTTACGGAGCGCGAAGCGAAGAAAACGTCGTTGAACAGATTCAATTCGCTCGGCCCCATTATTGTAGTTCGGGCTCCAGACAGCAGACCAGTCAGCAAAGATGTCAACCTGATTTTGGAGAGAACGGCAGTCGGCGAGTGAGCGGATGCGCAGAAAAACTTTCAGATCGTCTGCAAACGATAATCGTGGCTCTGTGATAACATGGTGAACGTCGTCGAAGTAGAGGAGAAATACCAATGGTCCCAGATGACTGCCCTGAGGTATACCGGACTTTGCGCAGAAACTTGCTGAGCGACAAGTACCCAAAGTTACTGTCAATTGGCGCTCCGTGAGGTATGAACGAAACCATCTCAAAAGATTTCCACCGATCCCTAGCCTATCAAGCTTAGCGATCGCAATTTCGTGGTTCAGCTTATCGAAGGCTGCCTTAAGATCTGTGTAGATAACGTCCGTTTGGGTCCGAGCAATCAAACTGTCTGTGATGTAAGACGTTAGGCACAGCAGGTTCGTAGTTGTGGAACGCCCAGTTATGAATCCGTGTTGATCTGTACTTAGATATTGCCTGCAATGCGCATTTAGGGACTCTATGACAACCAATTCAAAAAGTTTTGATACAGCACTCAGCGATGTGATTCCCCGGTAGTTGTTTACGTCGCGTTTGCTTCCCTTTTTATGAACAGGAAACATATCCGCAGTCTTTATATAAATACTTGGGAGGGAGCATCAGGGTATCATTTGACCTGAAACTGGACGATTGGAGTGGTATGACAACCGGAGTCTAGGAGGGAATAAACATTATCATTTTCTTTATCCTACCAATTCGATTGTGGTGGTGTGAATTCTACTCCAACAGTTTCAGTGTTATTGACACACCCTTCTTAACAAACTATATTAAGGAAGCTTAATAAGTATTGCGAATTGCGTTATTCGATTTTTTGGATCGTATCGTTGGAAGGAGATTCTTAAATTCCCGTGGATTTCGCGTAAATGTCTCTGCTTACGAGTCACCCCTCCGTTTTTGGCCCTTCGTACAAAGATATTGTGAATTCAGATCGGTAGTTCAAGTTGATCTTGCTATTAAGTGGAGCTGCATACAAGACAAAATCTTCGAAGGTAAGGTTTCTACTTTACATACATACATTCAATTCGATCATTTTAGAGTGCACTATTTCTAAAAACGCATTTTGAAATCTCAAACCAATGAAAAACTTCGGGGAAGGAAAGGGTTAAAACACATACACACAAACAAAATTTATTATATAACATTCTTAAGGCTGGTTCGGATAATAAATCATCAAATATTTACGAATTTTATACACTTATTATTATGAGCTAAAAACTATGAACATTGAACAATAAAATCAAATTTACCTTACATGTATCCAGCCCATCCTATGTACATCTGAGCAAGATTATCTTGATTAGTCGCCTCACTGATCAAATGATTTACCTGACCTTCAACCGACAGTGGCATTTGAGATGTTTTTCCATGGATCCGCACATATCCTTTGAGTCGTTCTTCAATATGTTTGACGTTATTCATGGCTTGAGGGTCAGTGCGTTCCGTTGTACCATCATGTTTCGTTATCTTACTCCACGATACCAATGGGTCATACACAAATGGTTTCAGAACTGACATGAAGGTTGGTGTTTGATTCTGAAGCACCCTCAACGTTATCTCACAGCATTTACGGTAGAGACCTTCTACACCGAGTGGTCCCATTGCTTTGACCATGTTATGCGTGAGACGGAAAGGTACAAGCTCTGGAACTTCAAACGTCTCGCCTTTGTTGAACAAACAGTTGAAATCTACATGAACCGTATCGCCGTTTGTTGCATCGAAGAGAATGTTTTCGCCGTGACGATCTCCGAGACCGAGAATGTAACCAACAATAGAAATCACAGCCGTGGTTCTAATGTAAGAGCTTCGCGCTTGGAACCAGTTATGAGGATTGGAAAACCGATCGCGAAACCACTCTCCAAAAACAGAAGGATGTCGAGGTAGAAGTACATTGAGGTAAGCGTCACGTTTCTTTTGAAGTGGTTCCTGCCGTTTGAAGTTGTAATTGCGCAGCTCCTTTGCCGCCATGCCCTTTCCTCGTTGCTTGTAGTACGTGCATATGATGCTGCGGAATGTATTCAAGTTTTCCACCCATTCTATAATGCCACATTCTTCATTCAAAGGCAGTACCGTGTAGGTCCTGATATTTAGGCGACGGTGTTTAGCATCTGGGTCTTTGTATAGGTATTGTTTCACGACAGCATTAAATTCCATCAAACGGAAGTCCTTGCGGAGGTCATCTTTCGGTTTCATCATCATGGTGTATTCGCGTCCATCGTGACCGACCAATGTGATTTTCCGGGGCTTTTGCAACGATTGGAGGATGGTAAACTATTTGAAAAAGTAGAACAAATTTGAAGATTAAATTAGCGATGATATAGAACAGGTATCTTAAAGGTAGCTTTACCTCTTCGCGTATTCCATGTATGTACACCAGGTTCATTGGATACGAAGAAAAACTAGTTGAATTTTTATCTAATACCAGTTGCATGCACTTTTGAATAGGCATCATGATATCGGATAGGACGCCATCACTGAACAGTTTCGGTAGTGACTTGACTACAGATGACACAATTCCTTTGGTTTCTTTTGATGATCCCAGATCTTTGTTTGTAAGTTCGATAAACTTTTCAGCTAGTGCATTGAAATCGGTGATCATCTTTTGCATAGACGTTTTTGCTAATTTTTTATCGTGGAAAATTTCGTTGCATCGTTTGACGCGATTTGTGTAGGACGATTTGTAAACGCTAAGCAACATCCAAAGGGATTGCTGAGGATAGGTGAGAATCAGTTTAACTATGATTGATTTCAGCACCTGAAATACTTCAACAGAAGGATGCGCTACACGGCTCATAAGTTGGGAAAATGCAGTGAAAAAGAAATACGGTGACAGTGTTTCACTGAACCTTTGTGCTAGCTTGTTCATAGTGGAACAAATCTTTCTATACGAGTCGTTATTGACACCTCTGGAAGTGAAATCTAACCAAATGCTGAGCACTCTCGGCATCGATTGGTAAATGTATGTGGAACCGTACATCATGGACTTACCGTAATAAGTCATAACGTCCTGCAGAAGTTCCCATCCCCTCGTCGAATCTTGATCGTCGCTAGAAAAGTTCGCGTGTAATTTGTCCAGATATTGTGCCAAGTGGACCATACAGGTTTCTGACTCCGGGTAAGCCAGTACTGCTTCTTTAAAACATTTCTGATTGATGCTGGTAGAGACATTGGAGGAATCTGCATTGTATATGGCAATCAGGAGTTTTCCTTGGGCAAAAATCATTTTATCATCTTTGGGCAACTGCTTTGGATCTGATATTTTAGCTAACTGCAAAATTTCAGCAAGACCTCTTTCAAGGACTTTGAAAACGTTTGCAACGTCGCGCTTCTCCCAGAGCAGTTTAGCTTTCTTAATGAACAGCTCCTTGGGTTTGTAACTCTCCGCATGCAGAATATAGAGATGTGCCTGCTCGAAGAGTTTTGCTCTAGATGCCAGTTCAGTACTTTTTATCCATAATTCACCGATATGGCTATCGATGGTTTCGTTGATCTCTTTCACCAAACCACCTGTGCTGGCACTGGTAGGGAGTCCGTTGATCAATATTTTGGTCTCTTTTAACAATATGCGGCGAAGGTTTATGATAGGTTCCACAGTGGCTGCTGCCGGTTGGAGCAATTCCAACCGAGATTCGAAATTTTCTATCAGATTTTTTATATCTGCGTGACATCTTTGAAGTCCGTTCGATCGTACATTGTTCAGCACTTGTTCGCATTTTTCGAATTCAGTTATCATGTGAAGTTTGAGTACCTGTAAGGAGGGTGATGTTTTGTTACATTTACCACACAAAAACTTGTCCTAAAAATTGTATCGAACTCCATAGCAAATTTATAAGAAAGTTCCATACTAATGAGACAGGAAATGTTTTAATGCTCACCTGTTCATAACCTTTCTCATAGGCACTAATTTTAAGGTCAGAGTTTCGAAGAATCTTCAAAACTGCCAATCTTGCCTGTTCAAGCCTTTGCTTGAACTGATCGTGATTGTTCTTCCGGTAGCTGATCATTAACGAACCACAAATCACACCCCAGCTATCACTATCCTGGACTGACGGAGACTCCAACAATTCTTCTAGCTCTTCAAACCGACTTAGCCGATACAGTGGTTCCGCTTTGATTTCCTGAAGTAATGAGTGCACATTGCTTTCGTAATATTTGTTAAGCAGACTTTCGGACAGAAGCAGTGCAGTTTCAGGCTGATCTAAGCTTAGATAACATTCTACCATATTATGAATATCCCGGGGACTTACATCTCCAACTTGCAGCATACGTTCGTAACAGGCGGCAGTTTGGTGTAGCCGTCCGGTTGCGTTGTGCAGCAGAATTTGCTCTGCCAAAGTTGGTTCAGTTGTTTTGAGACACATAACTCCTTCTACTGAGTCCGGGTCGTTAAGATGGGTGAATATCTTAGCCAAGAAGAAAAGATGCTGCTGCAGGCGCGAAGGATCGTCTTCGATGAAAGCTTCCAGATACATCAATGAGCGCGCATATTCGTTGCATTTGAAATTAATGTTGGCCAACATTTCATGATCAAATTCGCTGAGAAATCCATCAACGTTGTGGAAGTCCGTTTTGCTATCATCAAGTTGATAAACTTTTCGCCACTGGCGCTTCCATTTCTCGAGAAAATCCAACAAACTGAAGGCAAATTTGGCACATTCGTTTGACATGTCACTGGTTTCGGTATCGGAAGATGCTGCCTTGTGGTCTTCTGGTTTAAATTGCAATGTTCGTAAACCACGGACGTAATGGTCTTGCTGTTCGGGACTGTCAATTTCAGGATTGTTGTTCATGATAGCATTGAACAAAAATTGCAGCTCTTCGACCATCTTCTTTCGGTAATCTTCGGAGCTTCCTTGTATGGCATGCAAAAGAATATATGGCAGAAACATGGTCATCGTGCTAATGTCGCACCGTATGCTTGGTTTGAATGATTTAAGCAGGGTCTGTGTGTGGTCTTTTTCGAGGTGTTCGATCATCTGGCAAGCCCATAGATAGGCCCATTCTTGGCAGGACTGAGCTTTAGAGCTCCCAAAAATAGGGTGGCACTCAATTGTCGTAGTCATAGTGAGACCAGTGTAGCAGGAAGTAAGCAAGGGTTCCATAATTGGTCTTAAACGTTCCGGAATAGCCTCCCAAACTTCGAGTTTCTTCCCTGTCTTTGGCGAAACTCCACGCTCGCCCAAAATTTCTTGAATCGCGAGCGAAAAACTATCCACAAGTTTGGTGTCTTTTTGGAACTGGTAAGCTCGACATAATTCTGCTAAAGCCATACTGGCAAACGCATCCGAGTGGATGCTTAGAGCGAAACTGTCTTGCGGGGCATAGTTTGGAGGAAGATAACTGGGAGCTAGAGCACCTAATTCTCCTATGCATTCCGCTGCTCGTAATCTATAGTTGGTGTCAATGTCACTGCAGCTTTTGATGAGATTGTCCAACAGACTCTCCACCATTGGATTAAAGGTAAGTTGGCCAATGATGGTATCATTCACTTGGATACGGCTGCACGAGAATAACCGTTTGAGATACTTCAAACCAAACACTCTCACTGAGAGGTTCTCGTGATTCACCTGTTTGATGAGCTCAGTAAACTTAACAAGAAATTGATCACGTTCTCTATCGGTCTTGGTATGCACCGCGACAATCCTCTTGATATCCTCATCCACCTCGGTTTCGTCCAGAAAGAACAGATCCGGTATGTGCTGGCTCAGCAAACTATTATTCTGGACAACCAAATAGTGGAAGATGTAGTTTATGTCCTCCGGAAATTGATCGATGAAATGAACTAATGACACGAATATGCTGCTCAGCAATGACCCCAGCTGTTCGACGTCTACGGTACAGATGAATATTCGCCACACTTTGATGCATATATCTTTGAAGTTGGCTTCGTCGAACGACAGAGCCGTCTTCAACAGAGCAATAATTTTGAAACGGAATGGCGTTATGTGGTGGCCTCCAAGGAGCCGGATAATTTCACCCAAACTATGTAATGTTTCCCGTTTCATAACTTTTTCCGTTTCTGGGTTGATAAGCGTCGCTTCGAAAAACGTGAGCACACCCAGGAACCGGTTGAATATGTATTCTGCCATTTGTGCTGTCGTAATGTCCTGGGCGTCATCCTTCGCCAACAGACTACGAAATGCATGTAAAACGCACTCGGCGTTAATATGGTAGAAAATCAAAATTTCGGCAACCGTTTTCTGAAAAAAAAGGTCGAAAGTGTGAGAATTAGGTTTAGAAATTAATAAAGCAGCGGCGTAGTGGGATTGGGTTACAGCCGGGCGGCATGAAATACTTTTTAATCAATATGAACAACAAGCAAACAAACATCAGATAATTTGAGTGCCACCCCCTAATATGTAATTGTACAATAGGTACAATTCTTGTTCAAACAGACATAATACTTCGCATGCAGTTCATCGTTCACGCTTTTAATAACGTCAGAGATCCAAAACTACAAACTGCGTGTCGATGGTGTGAGCCGACGACAAGACAGGACAACTGGCTTCTTTTTGTTTTTCTTCGCAGATTCTTTATTCGCTGCTGCAGTCCTTGTTGAACATTTTTTTTCCTTGATTTTGTTTTCCGTCGATCTTGTTTTCCGTGCTGAGCACCAATGCTACCGACACCAGGGAGGCAGCTCCCACACCTGGACCCTACCTATCGACCCATCAAACTCATGAACCAACGGCTTTACTTCTCTTCCGAAGGAAGACGTGATCAGAGATGTTATGCCTCAAAACATCCCGGCGGCGCCGACTGGGATTGAACCCAAGCCTGCTGGGGTGAGAGGTAATCACGCTTACCACTACACCACCGGCGGCGCTAATCCATCGGTTGTGTAATATAACGTTGTACGATGTACATCGATTTTGCAAACAACATCCATTGATGTAATATTGTATCTGCTTTTTGCTATTACATCATTATTTCATACATCAGCTTGAATTACATCGATCCATATTACATTTTTTTGCTGTGTAGGAGTTCATCGACAAACTTGAGCAAACGATTGAGAATAAGTTTCTCGAACAATTTGGTCAGCGATAAAAGGAGGCTGATCGGTTTGTAGCTGGAAGCTAATGTTGGGTCCTTTGCTGATAGGTATGATTTTCGCTGTCTTCCAAATGCTTGGAAAGTACTGCAGTTCCAAGCATCTGTTGAAGACAACAGCCAACAGAGAGTGAACCTTCACGCTGAGGTTTTTCAACACTAGGTTGAATATTCCGTCGAACCCGGGGGCCTTCATGTTTTTGGTTCATTTCAGCGCTGAGCAAATCTGTTTCACTGAGATCATATTCTTCGGAGGGATAGTACAAGGGGAGGAATCAAGGTTGAGTACGCATTGCACAACCTGATCTTCGAGCGATGTTGGAGCCAAGCAAGTACGTTTTGGCAATATGGTCATCAATCGCATTTGCCTTCTCCTGAGGGGTGATTATGAGCCGATCGTCATCATATTCATCTTTGATTGGTGGAATGGGTTTGGGGTGCGTCTTTAGGACGTTGGCAACCTTCCAGAATGGTCAGTAGCGGTTGTCCAGATTCTGGACGAGTGGCCCGAAACATTCGTTTCGGAGTGAGACCATTCTGGAAGCAATCTCCTTGTTCAGATCGGCCATTTCACATTTCCTCGCTTGATCACTGGTTCTTTGGAACTGGCGTCTACGAATATTTCTCAGGCGAATCAAAATTTGGGTGTGAGAATCAATGGCAATAAACTTACCCCTCATAGGAACTCGTCGGACACACGCCTCGTCCACCACGGTTATGGCAAGCTCACAAACCCATCTAAAATAATGCGTCGAAAAAAACTGCTTTTGAATTTTTAAAAAATGCATCAAAGCAAATTGAACCTGAATGAAAGGGTTGTAACATTTTGCCATACAAATCCACCCTCTACCATTTTAACAAACACTTAACATTCTTTTCTAAACAAATTCCGCATCCAGACAACCAGAAGTCGTACAACAATGTACAGACAGTATCGTAAATAACTACAGTTTTTGTCAACATCGCATACAAGTATGGCTTACATTGCATTATGTTTAAGTTAAATCGTATAGAATGGAAATTTCCGACTTTTATGCGATGAATCATTTTTCCATCGTACTGTACCACAAATTAAATCGGATTACATCGTAAGACTTTACAAATTGAAATTGTTATGACAGACTGAATCGTATATGACGCCAAATCAACTCGTTTAATTATAAATTAAGATTTGCACGTATATGGCCTCCACTTTTGTAGGTATAAGCCCTTTTTTGCATTCTATATGATTTGATTGTTTGTATATATGTTTGTATATCACAGAAACAACTTTGAATATACGTGCATTCTGGTTGTCTGGGGCATGCACGGTCAATGAAATCGGCTCAAAATTCATATTTGAGTTCAGGTTACTTAAATTCGCGAAAACGTAGGTCACTCATAGAATGAGTAAATTTTCCGACGCTTTTCCGAGGAAAACTTCTCGAATATGAGGAAAATTGATTGTGGTTTTAGTCTGTCTACTAGTACACTTCTAACATGTGTACAATTTTCTTAAATTTTCCCCATATCCGAGAAGTTTTCCTCGGGAAAGTGTCGGAAAATTTACTCATACTATGAGTGATCTACGTTTTAGCGATTTTGAGTAATCTGTGTGGTGTTGATTACTTGGCACTGATGAAGTCTGCAAGTAGTAGACGAAATACGCGTATCTGTCAACAGATAAGCAATTATAACGGAATTTAAAGGAAATAAACCAACCCACTCAAAGCTCTTCATAAATAATTGAAATCTCTAATCTACCTAATCAATCATAACCCATGCTTTATTAAGTACCTGCACTTGTGATTGTAAACTAAAATTTAACGTGTTTCAAGTGCTTTTAATTTTGATTTATATTTATTATATCTTAGTTCGTCCCAGGTGAAACCTTCAAGTGACTAAAAAGCTTCACTTTGAAGCTAGTTTCCTAGCTGATTTCTTAAATTATATAGGGTATATGCTCCAATTATGCTCACACGTTTCCACTATGTCGCACCACAAAAATACGTATCAATAGAAGCACGCAGTCACAGTGGAAATCCCGAGCCATAATTCAAACACTTATCTCAAATCAAAATGAAGCACATATAAGATTAGTTACAATACTATGTACTAGAGTGGATCATCGTTATATGGAAAAACGCAAACTTTACCGCGCCAATCGAGAACAACCCTTTTTTGGTTCCATGTGGAGTCCCAAACAACTGTGCAAAATTTGGGGACGATTGGTTGTAACTCTGCTTTCCGCATTGCGTTTGAAATTTGCATGGAAATTAGTATGGGAAAACCAACTTTTTTGCATGTTTATCCCTAGAGACCACAATTTTGCATGTACCGTTCAACTAATTATGTATAAATATAGTCCAGAAAGTACCTAACAACTTTGCCAAAGAAAGTACGGTGCTAGAATATATCCAAAAAAAAAGTTATAGATATTCAAATGTTTTTTACACCAAAAATCCCATTTTCTGCCAACACTGCCGGTGTACCAATGGAAGTCAGATTCCAAACTGAAATAATATAGGAGTTTCTTATCTTACTGATTTGGTATGTTCAGATGAATTATTCAAAAACAATTACTCTATCTCATATGTTTAGTTGGTTAGGGGGGGGGGGGGGTAGCTTAATAATATACCCCATCCTTCTCACTCATATCAATAGTTTCAGTTTGAAATAACTTTCAGGATGAATTATTCAAAAACATTTGCTCAATCTCATAAGCGTTGTTAGACAGTGGGCTGGGGGGGGGGGGGGTGTTAAGGGCTTATATATGCAGATTTTAAAAAGAAAATTGTTGTAGTGTAAATATTTCATATCCACTTGTCGGTCACTTGTCGGTTCATTTGTTAGTGAGGAAATGTTTGAATTATTAGCAGCTGGTAAATTTTAAATTTCTATACAAAGCTTTTATTTGAAATATTAAACTGTCATTCGGGCCAACCCACATATATAAAACACAGAAGTAGTCGTACGTCAAGAACCAAAAACAAGAGAAAACGAAAACTGTCTTCACCAGTTTCGTCTCAGACACAGGTACAGTCGGATTTTGGCTTTTATGTGTACACATATTTATGTGTCCGACACATAGATATCATTTGTTGATCACATTGCAAAAAATCATGTGTGGGACACATAAAAACAATCTTTGAAATTTTATCAGTGTAGAGAAGAGAATGGGTAGTACTCGCTTTACAGCTGCTCTTATGAGATTAAGTTAATGTTTTTGAATAACCCATCCGACCAACTCGAGAGATGGGAAACTCCGAAGTTATTTTAGTCTTTATCTTTACTTTCATTGATATAAGTGAGCGCCGGAAAGCATACAGTAAGCCCCCCCATATCTAACTACGCCTATTGAATGGAGCACATGTTTTTGAATACATCTGAACATACCAACTTGACAAGATCAGAAACACCATTTATATGAGTGAGGGGGCGGAGGTATATTTAGCCCCCCCTTCATCTCTTAATATGCCTATGAAATTGAAATTTTTTTTTTTGAATAATTCATCTGAACATACCAAATCGAAAGATAAGAAACTCCGAAATTATTTCAGTTTGAAACTTTACTTCTATTGATATGAGGCGACAAACAATTTATTCTACCTAAATACGGCTTCTGGACAATAGTGCACTGATGTCACACGACAGTACATGTACCTTTACTAGCCTACACTCAAAAAGAAAAAAAAAGTCAATTTAGACTTATTTCTATGCAAAATCCAGCCTCGCCCGATGCACTCATTCGATGCATAAAAGTTGAACAGTACTGGTTTGTATAAATAGAGTTTACACTTGCTATGTATACTTTTTAGTCGCATTTATGCCGCGGATACTATTGTATGCCATACTTTAACAAGAGCATTAGGGGCGATCCATTTATTATGTCACTCTAAATTGAGGAAAAATCAACCCCCCTCCTCCCCCTTTTGGTGACGTTTTTTCTATACCTAATACATTGTTTGTCACAAAATCATGAACCCCCCCCCCCATCCCCCTTAAGAGCGTGACATAATATGTGCATAACCCCTTATTTGTTTAATAAATTATGAGCACATCCCTGGTCACCCTGTATAGTGCTCTTAATTATTATACAAAAAATGCCCATGCTCATAGTTTGTCATACAAGTGTATCAGCGGCATTAGACTTCTTGCAGTTATTTTGAGAAGCACCTCTGTTGCGTTTATTTTATGTATAACAAAATTAAAATTTATGCATTTTAAGAGTATTCTAAAGCTCATGTCGAACTTATTATTTATTTTAAATATTTTAAAGTTGGCCAGTTTTATTTGGTTACTACCGAGCAATGAGCATATTGAAAATCAATGATTCATCTGGTATAATGTAGTAAACGAATAAAATTAGCCAATTTTAAAATAGTTAAATGTTAAATTTGACAAAATGCACATATTATACTCACATATTTTTACACCTAGGAACAAATCAATTTTATTTCACGGAATCTTTTCATGAGTCAAAGACACCCGTGTGTTTTAAATATCGTGACCATATCATGTATCTAGAAAAAGTTTAAATTTTTAGTTGAACTAGCTTTGTCACCATTATCCAGATTTTAAAATTTTAAAATATTTTGTTCTTTAAATCCAATTTGTAACTTTGAATTTTTTGTCTTCCATGAAACTCCAATCACTCTACAACTTTCACAAGAATCTGACATATTGAAATATTTTCAAAGTTCTTATAATTAGCTTGTTTTTCAACAGTTTGGCACTTGAAAGGTTGACTCTTAATAAGTATTAGGGAATTTTAAGGAGAACCCTTGCAACACTCTAAAAAGAATTTTAACAAAGTTCTGAGGAAATTTTCAGGAGTGTTTTGAAGAAAGTTTAAAAGACAATTATTAGCAAACTTCAATATGTCGGAGGTGAATTTCAAAAGGTTTCTGAAAAATGCTTATAGGTAATCTGAAGAAATTTCCAAAGGAACTGTAATGAATATAACAAGAGTATTTTATACATAGAATAAACTGAAGTGCGAGGGCTCATTACAACAATACAGTAGAGTGAATTTCAAGGCAATTCCAATTAGAATCCAAATTGTTTCTACTGTGTCAGAGATTTTACTTGTGAATGTATATTGTTTAAATCATCACAATTGGGTGGAAAACAAAATAAGATTGTCGATTTTTGCGACTTTTGTAAACTTTATTCCAGGATGGTCTAAAAATAATCATATGTGCGATTTTTTTTTCTATTCCTAACCCATACTTTAAGAAAAATCTAAAATAAAATGTTTTTAGCAAATGTTCAAGTTAATGATGATTATTGAAAAACTGTTATCGAATAAAATGGTAAATCTCTAGCAAGACTAAGTTTTTAAACATAATTTTGTAAGTTGTTAGAGATAAATATTTGAGATGAGATGAGGAATTGGTAATGTCTTCGATAAAAATAAGAAATCTTTATGTTTTGAACGTTCACCAAATTGTAGAATATTAAAATCCTTTTCATGCAAAAAAAACGCGCAACATCTTATCTTCTATCTATCTTATCTACATCTTATCACTAATCAAGCAAATGGAACCAAATTAGGCATGTGGGGGCGAGTGTGGGGGTATAAGGAGATAATCATAGGGGCTACCCCCTATGATAATAGGGGGGGGGGGGGGCTACGTACAATATAGCATGCTTTTTTTTTAAATCGGCGCATAAACTCAAGCTAATATTGAATCCCGAGCAAGACCGGGCACACTCAGCTAGTATTATATAATTATATATAATATATGAGCCTACTTTAAAAAAATTAAATGATATTAGACCCCGAATTTTAAAAATCTGTCACTGTTTGGTGAAAATAAAATTCAGATATCGTGTTCGTAGCCTTAAAAAATCTATTCATTGGATCTTAATTTCTCGCAAGCTTTAGATTCCTTAAACAATTCTTAAAATCAATTTATCGCTTTTCCACCCTGGTTAATTATTAATTCTAATTTTCTTCCTAATGTTATTGAGCATGATCAATGATCATTATCAATAATTTGAATGAGATAACTTAAAACTTGTTACTAAGAAATTTCTTTGGAAAATTAAAAAAAAAATATGTTGTTAGGGGTTTCTAGGGAAATTAAAAAGATCCGGGAGTGGAAAATCAGAGGATTGTAAGACTTAAAACTAACTTAATTTTAATACGACTAGAAAAAACTTGAAACTTGAAGACAATCCTTAGAGTTTTGGAAGGCTGGTGGCACCCTGGATACATTATTTATAAACATGTTGTATTTTTATACAAATTCATAAAATACCGATGACATATGCCGAAGTATGACTGAAAATTTAATTTCGGTTAAACGATTATCGACCCAGTAATCCATACGGTATAATAGTGTTCGGTATAATGGTGTTCAGCTAATCGGCGTCTAACCTAATTCTCCATAAAAAAAAACGTTTACTTTTATGGAACTATGTATTTATCAATTCCAAACCATTTTATAGCTCTTTAGAAAATGACAACCTTCAAGTTTTCGAGCACTTCGTTCATCATTTAAAAAGTCAAAGGGTCTATTGTGCAATCCAATTCAACCAGTCGGAAACTGTTAAATTGTTCGACCTGAGTTGAAGAATTTCTCGTGATGGATTAAAAAATTGGTGCATGGAACGTTGAACTACCGATTACAAATTTATAACATTGTTCCACACGTTATTATCCCGAATGGGCATTACCCCGAATCCCTTGCAGTTTTTCGCTTTTGCATTGATTATATATTTTCCTCATATATTAAAAGAAGGGAATATTCCCTTCTTTATTGTATATCCAAAGAATTAATTATTTCCTTTTCTTATATTTTCAAAGAAGGGAAAACCCCTTGATCCATTAAGAAGTTGTTCTCTTCTTTTTATATACGCGAAAGAAGATTCCAGGAGTGACTATAATAAACAAAAATAGTAAATCTAATACATGGCATACTTTTCTGGGGAATGGTACATTCTGAGGAATGGTTTTCTGGGGAATGGTGTATTCTGGGGAATGGTTTTCTGGGGAATGTTATAGAATCCATAAAAAGTATTTCAAAAGTGCGTATGTTTTATGCATAGCGATGTAGAAATAAAGTTTAGTCAAAGCTTGCATAGAAAATACTCTATTTACAACTTTCATTATTTTTGAGTGTAAGGCTGTGTGTAAATCGTAAATAAAACTAAATGATAAAAATAATAAATACTATACCTTTATATCGGAATGGAGAAGATGCACCAGAGTGATCCCGGTGTTGGTCATGATGTAGTCAATACACTGATTAGTAATGTTCGCCGGTTCGTTGATGAACAAATACGGGTAAATGGTAAGGAAGGAACCGGACAGCATTAATTTCTTATCCCTTCGAGTCATATTCGCAAGTTCTTGCAGCAAATGTTCACATTTCGGGCGCTGGAAAATATTGTATTGTAACACGCACAGAAGCTGAATTAGAAACGTGCAGTATTTACCTTGACACACCATGGTAGCAACATAGCCAGAATGATCTTGTAGTATTTAGTCACAAATTTAACTGGTCCACTGAACTGAAACGTTCGGCTAATCTGAAATTTAATGAAAGGCATTGATAATAAATTGTTCGAATGCGAATCGAACTTTCGTGCTAACATGGTACAGCGATTTATGCAAGGATGCGTTATAGCAGCAATAGTTTGTGGCACTTATGGCTGTCATTAGCTTGATCGTATCATGACGATACCAGTGCAGCATGTCCAGTGTTGACACCCCATGATGCCCACACATTTCTCCCGCAGCCAGGGTGGCCTCCCGTGAAACCTCTGACTCACGGAGCATCAAAAAGAAGAACAACATCCGCAAACAGTGCATTAAACGTTCCTCGCTCAAACCGTCACAAGTAGCAAATTTAACCAGCATGTTCATCACAGCCGATTGGTAGTTGTAGTCCGATTTCTTCAAGCTAAGCTTGACTGCTTGTAGCAATTTATCAAGACACGTTTGGATTATTTTATCTTTCTCCTGACTGTCTAGTGAGGAGTTCTGGAAATTAAGAAAAATAAACACATTTGTCATGTACGTAAACTTCCAATACATTACCATTATGTACTCCATTAGCATGGGAAATGTTTTCGAAAATGTGATACACACTTCCACTAAGTTACACGTTATAAGACCACTCCAAGCCTGTACTATTTGTTCGTTGGTGACGAGTTGAGCGCTGTGTTTTAGCAGAACTGGTAGCATTTTGGCCATTTCGACCCGTATATCGTTGTCCTCCGTGCGATACAGGAGTTCCAAATCTTCGACAGACAAGTCAAATTCAGAAAATTCTGTAACACTTTTTGGAGTGATTCTAACGCCATCACTCTGGGCGAAAGGTTCTCGTTTTTGAGTCGCAGTTGTTTGAGTACAAGCAATGTCAGTGTCGTCGGCACTTGGTTTACACACAAAGCAGCGGTACTTTCTCCTCAGGGTCGATTCACGTTTGATTTCAAAAATTGAGAAATTTCCAGACTTCATACACACATGTGCGTTCAGATTTTGAACTGAGGCATGCCGCAGTTCTGGCGTGCGTAGGGATATCAGAAGCATCTCTTTAGCTAGCAGTGATGGTGGATACTTGAAGGAAAGTAGAAGGTTCGTGTAGAAACTGTGTAGGATTCGTGTCTGTTCAAGGTCTCCCGAACTTGCGATGCTCGTAATGATCGTCCAGAGATTAGTTTTCAGCGTGTCCGATACAGATTCGTTGATGTTGTTGAAACTGAGAGTGCACAGTTGATCCAGCGATTTGGTTTTTATTAACTGAATATCACAACTGTTTTGCAAGTAGTCGTAATATTTTTTCTTCAAATTTTCGGGAATTACCGAAAGAACTGAATTTGTGACTAAAGGTTCGTACGGCAGCAAAAACCAGGAACAAATATGTTTTTGGAAGTCAACGTCTACAGATGCGAAGTCCTTCAATAGGATAGAATCGAAGCATACATCCAGCACCAGTAGGATAATGTCAGTATTGAAAGCAACTTCTAGTAAGTCTTGAAAAAGCTTCTGTAGAAATGGCTGCAAGCTACCGTAGAATGCCACAACACTCCGCGTTCTGTTGTATTCTCTTTGTGACCAACACGAGTAGTTAAACGTAACGTTGACGGCTAGATGGATAATTTTTTGGCGCAAATAGAGCTTCTGCAGCGTTTTTTTTTTACATTCATCGTCTTCGACAGTATCCAGTGCTCGATTCCAGAAATGGTTCTGTTTTAATGTGGAAACCTCATCCAGATTCTTGGCCGCAATTAGTTCGTTGGTGATGGGAACTTCAAGTAGGCTTAATAGGTCTGGAAACTGGTTAGACAACGAAAATATGTCGTCAAACAGGTCGCAATTCATACCAGACATACATTGATTCAGTAAACCACCCATAAATCTACTAATCTGTTCCAAAAGCTTCAATTTGATATCTTCGGCATCTTTCTCGATGATCATTAGATTCTTGATAATGTTTATTGAACATTGAAACAATTTATTTTGCTGCTCGGACTGATAAGTGCCATATTTTAATCCATTCAGTTTGCTGTAGAAATCAACGAGAGCCGTCTTGAATTGCTCCAATGACTTCACTCGAGCTATTTCACTGCTTAGCCAGCGATTAAACCGTTCCAAAGTGGTTTCCACAATCGATAGAATTTCGCCGACTAAATGTTCTAGATCTGACGTATAAACTGAGATCAGCTTAAGAAATTGGCCAAAAAACATTATGCTTAGCGTCTTCTCGTCTAATGAGCCTTGATTCAGAGTCTTCATGACCGATTTGGCCGAACGCTCGCGGATGCTGCGATTGGATGAGTCGTCCACTAGACTGACTACTTGGCACAGGACATGTAGACAATTCTCAGTTAATGCTACCTTTGTAATTTTGCTCCCCACGACAATCGGCGCAAAGACGCAGGCGCAATCCAACCCAACAAAATAGTGATCAGGCATGTGAAAGTGCTCCAGCCTTGTCTCCATTTCTGAGTTGATGGAATTCAGCTGATCAAGTATCACCAAATATTTGTCAGCTGCGTCATACAGAAACCATATCTGCTTCACGAAGCTAGCTGAAATGATCGCCTTTTGCAATTCTATGTTGTTCTTTTTGATACTGAAAAGGAATAGAATTTCGACAATGATTTCAATAAGGATAATATCCTAATATTATCAATAATTATTATCCATTACCTAAAGAAATCTTGGATGGAAGCAACATAGAGCAAATGGTTGATAAGCCAAAAGTTGCAAGCTTTCACAGGATCTCTCTCCTTAGGCGTTGCTAGAAGAGTTGTAGGAAACAACCCCGGATTATCGTAGGTCAGATCCCGTCGGATCATGTCCAGAATTTTCTCCAGATAGGAACTTCGTTTATTTACTTTATCGATCAACGTTGGTATCAAGGTTTCCCACATCGCACCGGATTTTTTTTTATCTTGCTTGGATGTGGATGCTGTGGGTATTTGTTCCTCCATCACGAGCTTCAATTCTGGAAGATAAAACAGCACTAAAACGCGAAACAATGCTAAAATTGTGCACGATAAACAGATAGAACCGGCGTTTGGCGACTACGCGTTTTTCACTGTTTTTCACAAAAAATGAACAAAAACATTGCCGGACGCGCGCTTTCCATATTTATTTAACCATTCACTCTCTTACCTCTCTCTTGATGATGATGAACATGGTTCACTTATATATTTCCGGAGTGATTTGAGATTTGGGCGTATTTGCATTTATAAACAAACACGTCAATCACCGATTTCTCGCGAATAAAAGCTCAATCTCGAAAAGTAATAACACTATTAGGTAGAAGAATGATTCTTCTATCATTTGGTATAGTTTGTTTGTGAGATTGAGCTTTTATTCAAGAGAAATCAGTAATTGACGTGTTTGTTTACAAAAGCAATTACGCTCAAATCTCAAATCACTCCGGAATTTATAAGGTTGATGAAGTTTTTTGACAGTTCAGTCACAGACAAACAAACATAACACTCACATTCTTCGAAAATTAGGTTTTAGTTGGGAATGTGCTTGCATTTGTCATGTTGGCGCCACTGAAGCGTTAAGGGGTTACGCCTACCTGCAAGACCGAAAAAAAGCGAAAGTTTGGATTTTTTCTTTCTAGAAAACGACGCAACATATTGAAAATCGGTTTTCTGCCGTTTATTGAACACACATTAAATGGTACATTTATCAGTCGATGCTGTAAAAACGAGGTCCTATAGTCCTTGATCGTTGGGTTTTTTTTTTAAATTTTTTTGACAAAATTGCGGCCTTGCAAAGTTGAAGTGCCAATTTTTGATCCTTAAAATTTGTCTTTGATCGGCTGTAAAAAATCGAAATTAAATGATAGACGAAATCCGAACGATCGTGGACTGCACAATAAAGTACTGAACAGAAATCAAAACGAATCGGACGAATCGAATGTATACATTTCGAGAAATTTTTGGCACCGGTTTTGAAAATATGATTCCGAGATAATCGCGTTTAAAGTTTCAAGTTGGGTTTAGTCCACTATAAGTGAATATTTTTGTACGTCGCATAACTTTCACAATTTTCATCGGATCAACTTGATCTTTTGAGGAATTATTCTTGACTTTATATACTTTCGATTAGGACAATAAAAAAAATCGATTTTTTGAAAGTTTGCAGGTAGGCGTAACCCCTTAAGCAAGCCACTATATTTCGAACTAATCAGTAATGCCAGTTCTTTTTTTTCAGGTCAATTTAGGCTTTGAATTATTTGGCGAGTTAAATTTAACTCGTGGTCAAAAGTAACATTTCGAAACTTATTTTCTATGTTCGAAAATCCCTGTGCAGTCGATCGACCGGTTTTCGAGAAGAACTCAGCCACGGTTGTCTAAATTTTACTTATTGTCTGTCAGAAGTAACCACGCTCGAACAGCAGGGTTAATCGATAACTTTCCACCTGTCAAATTTTAACCAAAAGTTAAAATAATCCACCAAATGGTTCAGAGCCTTAGTAGATGTCAGTTCGTGAGAATGATAATGCCTTGTTCAGACTGGAGAGTTATAACATGTTATAACGGTTGTCAAATAATTGCAACACATAAACCACCATCAAGATAGCGCTATAACATGTTATAACTCTGTAGTCTGAACGTACTATAAGAGGACCAACCCAACAAACATTAGAAGCAGAACAAGAGCTTATTCAGTCAAAAATTTGCTTCTTCAGCTAAAAAATTGCTTATATAATAGCAGCTCAAATTGTTTATTGTTTAAAAAATTAATATAATAGCAGTTCAAATTGTTTGTTGGGAAGACATTCCACTGGAGACATATACAGTAATGACCCGATTTTGCCAGCCCCCTTTTTGACATTAATAGCAATAACAAAAACAACAGTTCCTACCAGTCCCACATCAGAAATCATGGCAACCCCCGTTTTCTTCCACCTGATCGAGAGCTGCTTTCAGCAGCAAAAAATGTCTTCAACAAACCACCGGTTAATTATCAACCTACGATGCAGTTTGAAAAAGGGGAAACTATAAACCCATACCCAGTAAGCGGTCTTCAGAATTCACATGGTATGGCTCCGGGGAATTCTTCCTCTACATCGTGTCAGCCGTGCACATGTAGACATGCGTGTTTTCGGCACCACTGACGCACTCACCTGAGGTAGAATATGACAACATAGCTGAGCCCGAGGATCATGGCATCTCACATAACTTGAGGGATTTCGGACAGGATGCAGCCACTTCACTCCCTGACCAGCACGACGTAAGTGACCATGTCGCTAGTTTATCAAGTAGCTCTTTTTTAAGTGAAACTACAGTGTATTGCCAAAATTTTAACCGTATGCGTAGTGCGTATAAAATAAATGAAATTCAAAATAAAATAAGCGGATGCACATATGATATAATAATTGGAACAGAAACTAGTTGGTCTGATAGCATTAATAGCGAAGAGGTCTTTGGTAGTAAATATTGTGTTTATCGATGTGACCGCGATTTATCATTATCAGGTAAAAAATCAGGTGGTGGTGTACTTATTGCTGTGAATGCTACATTTCAAGCTGAACAAATTGTTAGTGAAAGCCAAAAAGAATTTGAAGATGTGTGGGTTAAAATTTTAATAAACGGCGAAGAACATCTTTTCGCTTCTGTCTACTTTCCTCCACACTTTTCCAAAAAACCAGCTTACGAAAAGTTTTTCACTGCTGCAGAACTGAAAATTCAAAGAGAAGATCCAAGAACCAAAATTCATATTTATGGAGATTTTAACCAGAATACTGTTAATTTTATACAGGATAGTGATAATGATTCTCTGTTGTTACCAATTGTAGGAGAAAACGATACTTTGCAATTCATCTTTGATAAAAGCAGCCACTTGGGACTTCATCAAATTAACCATGTTCGTAACCAGCTCAATTCCTATTTGGATCTTATGTTTACTAATTGTACAGAAGATTTTTGTATTGTAGAAGCAGCAGTTCCATTATGGAAGAATGAAAAATTTCATACGGCTATTGAATACTCAGTGTTCACAGACTCGCATCGGTCACGCCCAAGCGTTGTTGATTTTGAATTAGTTTATGATTTTAAAAATGCAAATGTTCCTGAATTTAACAACAGACTGAATAACATAAGTTGGCAAAACCTTTTAAAAGATGAAAACAACATGGACAAGGCTGTTGACATATTTTATACTAACTTATACAATATTATTGAAGAATTCGTTCCTAAAAGACAAAAGAGAATAGTGAACAGCACCAAATATCCTGTGTGGTACACACAAGAAATCAGAAATATTAAAAACAGGAAGCAAAAAGCACACAAGGCGTATAAAAAGTTTAAAACGTCACAAAATTTAGAAAAATACGTTGAAATTTGCGGAGCACTTGAGGCAGAAATATCGTCAGCATATGAGAATTACAATTCAAGAGTAGAGAACAATATAAAATCAGATCCCAAAACGTTCTTTAACTTCGCGAACGAAAAAATGAAGTCATGTACATTCCCATCACGCATGCAGTTTGAAGAGTGTGATAGCACTGATAATGAGGATATTTGTAACCTATTTGCTCGTTTTTTCCAAAACACATATAAGAAATCCAGTAATGCTCTCGATTTGAACTATTTTTCTTACCTACATGAAGGGGAAAATGACGTATCAGTTAAAAATATCACTGTTAAAGAAATTTTTATGACTTTTGAAAGTCTCGATGCTGGCAAAGGACCTGGTCCTGATGAAATACCTCCATTTTTATTGAAAAAAATAGCAACAAGTTTTGTTAAACCATTGTTTTGGCTTTACAATTTATCTCTCAAAACAGGTGATTTTCCAAAAATTTGGAAGAAATCATTTTTAGTTCCAATATTTAAATCTGGCAAACGGTCAGATATTAAAAACTATAGAGGTATTGCAATTATGTCATGTATTCCTAAAATGTTTGAAGCAATTGTTAACCAGAAAATATTTAACCAGGTTAAGCATCGCATTTCAAATAATCAACATGGTTTTTTTAAAGGTCGGTCAACGTCTACTAATCTGTTGGAATTTGTAAACTTTTCTATTGAAGCAATGGATAGAGGTAATACCGTTGAAACCTTATACACTGACTTTAGTAAGGCTTTTGACAGAGTAGACATTCCCTTACTTCTTTTTAAATTAAAACGTTTAGGTATGACAAGTACACTTTTAAAATGGATTGGATCATACTTGACAGAAAGAACACAGATGGTCCGCTTTAAAGGAAAAATATCTTCGCCAGTTAATGTTACCTCGGGAGTTCCACAGGGATCTCATTTAGGTCCTTTATTATTTATTTTATTTGTGGATGACGTGAAGTTTGTGTTAAATCGTTTAAATGTGCTCATATATGCTGACGATATGAAACTGTACATGGAAATCTTTGACAATTCTGATTTGCTACATTTTAAAAATGAAATTGATGTTTTCTACAACTGGTGCGTTAAAAGTCTGCTGGATATTAATGTTAAAAAATGCAATATTATATCATATTCCAGAAAAAAACACTACTCTAGATTTTACATGTACTCTAGGAAACCAGCTGGTTGTAAGGTGCGATAAAATTAGGGACTTAGGAGTAATTCTTGACTCAAAGTTGACATTTGTAGATCATGTGAATACCACAATTCACAAAGCAAATAATATGTTGGGATTCATAAAAAGATTTAGTTATCATTTTAAAGACCCATATACCATCAAAACACTTTATATAACTTACGTGAGATCAATTCTCGAATACTGCAGTGTGGTTTGGGTTCCATACCATGAAACTTATATAAATCGTATGGAATCAGTTCAAAAACAGTTTTTGTTATTTGCTCTTAGGAAACTAGACTGGACCTCCCCTTCCTTCTTATGAGTCCCGTTGCATGTTGATAAACATTGAAACACTTAAGAAACGAAGAGAAATTTCCATGATTTCCTTTGTCAATGATATTATCTCACAACGCGTAAATTCAGAAAAAATATTAGCAAGATTAAATTTTTACGTACCATCACGCATGTTAAGAACTCGAAATGTATTTCAACTGTCACCTCACAGAACGAATTATGGTAAAAATGGACCAATTAATAGAATGATGAGAGTGTATAATAATTATTGTGAGCATATAGATCTAACGATGTC